AACAAGACCCGGGTGAGAACTGGTTCTGAAGTCCGACATATTGCAATCACATGCCTCCAAGCTTATGAATTCCTTCCATCAATGCAGGCATGTTTTTTGACAGTTGTGTTGCAAAACAATGATGCCAAACTCATGCGCCTGTGCTGCTGGAAACTTGCTACAAGGAGGAGTCATGAGCCCCTTTTACACTGCCAGATTTTCCGCAAATGTTTGCAAGTTGCGAGCGTTTAGACACACAAAGCCAGATTGGCGAGTTGATCCAAGGTGCCCAATTTTCCGCCTCGTAGGGTAGTCATATTGGCAGAACCTTTTTGGTTTAAAAAGAACGTGGCACCCTTCTGCCAACAGAGGGGCTGTTGATGACGCCGCACGTGCGGCCCACTGGCGGTGGATAAACAGGAAACAGCTGATAGCAGGAATTAGCCAGCAGCTAGTGGCAAGAGGGAAACACAAAGACACTGTAAAGATGAGCCAATCAACTGGGGAGACAAGGAATTGCGCGCCCTCCTTGCCATCGCAAACGAAGAGGCCATTAACCATCAGATGACAGGAACGGTGAAGGACGGGCCAACTTACGAGAGAATCGCCAAAGGACTGACCAGCCGCAGCTTCCCTCCCATGTCACTGTTTACATCACACGCTGAGCTACACGTTTTGTTACTTGCTCACGCCCCCCATTGCCCTGAAAAAGGCGCATTTTGTATAAACAAAAGTAGGTAGGCGGCATTTTGCTGCACTCCCCGATTTTGTTTTTATACTGCCAATGCTGAAAAAAGACTGATTGGGCTTTCCTGCAAATTTGCACAATTCCTATTTAAAAAGGGCTAATGAGGAGAGAAAGAAACGGTCAAAAGGGTGGCTTCATTTCACAAAGAAAGATGTCATCAGTGATGCTGTAATGTCTTTAAAATGATGATGTTACATCATGCTGAATCATTTGTTAGCTTAATGGGAGTTGGGGGGTTAATTTAATAGGTTAGCGCTCTGATTTTGTCACAGCCCCCAGCAGAATCCCCAAATGAATACATTTTCCAGTCCAGTGTTGATGAATTGCAACTTAACTGTTAACATCAACAGTAAACTGGGAGACACCATTATGTAGCACCGCTCTACCAGTATACAGCTCACAGTCATTTGTTTTCTAACTACCTTAAATGTGTGCAGCCCAGTTAAATGACACAGTTGACATTTACTTTTTTAGTTGTGACATGACTCAACCTTCCAACCTCTATCAGTTTTTATACACTACACTTTTATACACTTCCTCCCAAGCCTAGCTCCACGAGGAGCGTCTAATGGTTCCAGTTTTCAAGTGAGGTTGCTCTGTCCTGCTGCCAGCCTATAAAGGTCTTTGAAATGCTTTTATTGTGGCTCTCCACAAGAGACCAGTTTTCCTTAGGAGGCCGCACAAGGAGGTTTCCCTGGGTCATGAAGCACCTGAATCCTTCAACACAATAAGGTGATGATTCCTGAAGAGACTCTCCAAACTCCCAAATCTCATTGAAAGCTATTATAACTATACAATGTAAAAAGAAGAACACAAGTCTAGAACTGCGCAGCCGGTTTCTTGCCACAAATATATTCAAAAATAGATGATTGTGCATTTTTTCAATTCTATGAAAAATACTTCCTGAATGGCCGCCAAGTTTTACAACTTGAAAGTTGGAAGTAAAGACCAGTGACAGCTCGGCAAGGGTGTGTGGAAGCAGCAAGAGCTGGGTTCAGTGAATGAGCTGTCAGGCTCAGGATGATGTCTCAGTGAGGGAGAAATCTGTCAACCACCTATACATACTGTTTGAAAGGACACATTTCAAGTTGATCTGTCAGTGGTGCCAATGAGCCAAGTAAAAAGTGTGGTATGACTTTACCAGGCCAGATTCAGGTGCTTCAGTGGACACCTTTAATGTCCAACTCATTGTCATAGATTAAGGTGAGTGCTGGTGGTGACCCACTGAGCTTGCACCAGCAGGATCATTTGTACAAGTTGCAGTATTTCACCAAATTGAAGGTGGAGCTCAAAAGATTTGTTCCCTTAAAGGGCCATTGTGTAATATTTGGCATGGTTTATTGTCAATCTGAATCTGAATATTCTACCCATTAATATGTTTATACAAGTGTATAATCGCTATAAAATAAAATTTGTTTGGTTTTCGTAGCCTTATAATTATGCTTTTATATATATATATGTAGCAAGGGCCTTGCTTTAGAGAGGTCGCCATCTTGCGCCGCCATGTATGTACGGCAGACCAAGCGGACAATCCAGCCAGCCAGAGAACGCATTTCGCGTGTATAAATGAACCAACGAAGACAGCGGAAGGAAGGAAGAAGGAGGAGGAAACAGCAGAGAGTGTTAGTAGTCCGTAGATAGAGAGTAGTGAAAAGTTATTTTAGTTATAAAGTTTGCGAATGGACCACACTTACCACGCAACAGGAGAGAATGAACCCGAACCGTCATCTGCGAGGAAAAGAAGACGCAACTTCACTCCTTGTGATGCACCCTCTGCGGCGCTCTTCCTCCTGATGATATATCTCCCCAACGATGGTAGCAGTAGCACCGAGTCCCATTCTGTGCATTCAGCCTCTCTTCTCGCCCGCTCAGCATCAAACACATGGAGTTCCTCATCTGTATGCTCCGGCTCAAACAGGTATGGCTCTGGGTCTGTGTCCGCTACAAGAAACTCTTCAAAATCGCGTTCAAAGTCGTCCATTGCAGCTACTATAGTCCGGAGATATTGCTAGGCTAAATAAACAGCTGAGCTCTGTTTACCGGCTACGCTGTCAGTCAGTGTACTGGAGGTTGGCGGAGCAGAGAGGGGAGGGCTGCCCCGCTGGGTACTGTAAGTGAGTATGTGTGTGAAGTTATGAAGTGTGTGTGTTACGCTAGAAGAGTCAGAGTTTGGGACGGAGTCTTTTACCCCCTGGAGTGTTACCGGAGTTTTTGGAGTGCTCAAATAAACGGGCCTTTTTTCCCGAACGCTCCTCTGGTCTCCTGCTCGTGAGGGATTCATTACAATATCGTAACATGGTTTAGATTTCTAAATAAATATTCACCTCGTCGCTAGATAGACCTACTCCTGAAAAACTCGTGCGCAAGGCTTTTTGTCCCTACGAGGCCACCGTCATTTACCCGATGGGAGGGGTGAGCGAGTGAGCCCTGCAATCTAGAATTTGACCACTGATGTCACTGTTTTCAACCCATTTTACACACTGGCCCTTTAAATATAAATATCTGTGGATTTGTACAATTAGTGTGACAGATGTGATCTCCTGGGAACTTGTTAGGGCTTTTTTTTTTTTTTTTTTTTTTTTTTTACAAATATTTGAAAAAAAGACAGATGAATCAATATTGAAAGTAATAGTTAGTTGCAACTTAGTCCAGCACTGTAGTTTTGAGCATTAATACAACCATGTATCTGACACTGTGCTGTTGTAATGAGCTGTCCAGACCCACTGTGACATCTGCATGAGACTCAAGAAGCTGCATTAACTCAAGGCTGCACAAGGAAAACAATATCAATCTCGTGCTGATGGGGAATAACAGTCTGTGACGTGCAATTTACTTCAATTTTATTTGGTCTGGATTGCCTGAAATCGGTCTGGCTGGGGCCGCCGCAGCTGCAACTTTGCAGACCTGAGAGATATGATTAAAAATAATAAAGGAAAATAGAATCAGCAGCTGACATTACATTTCAGTCGATCCTGAAACGGTCTGGTCTAATATCTTTTTCCTCACTGGAGCTGGTGAGGAGGATTTAGGCTGTTTTCTCTGTCTCTCCCAATTGTACAACTGCATCTTTCCAGCACTGCGAGGAGGCAGCGTGGCAAGCTGGAGACACGCCTCTCTCAAACACACACACACAGTTGGCAGGGCTGCACTGTCTCCCTTGAGGCCAATTCATAGCAAGATCCTCACTGAAAACTGAGGAGTCGTAAATTGTTTCCCCCTCTCTCCTCAGCTTAACTGCCAATTACCCAGATCTGACAATGGCCACTTTACCACACACACACACACACACACACACACACAGTAGCCTATATCAAGCTCAAAAGCAGCATTCCTATGGAGGATAATACTCTGCTGAGCCAAAAACCTCACATGCATCCATGACTGCCAGGCCCATATGTCAGGAGGTCAACACACAGACGCCAAAGATTTTGAGGTTTTAATGTCATGAGTAGAGGATGCAGAATTGAGGGCAGAATTGTAGATTAAAAATAAATGCCAAGGTGAAACTTCCATCTATCCTCACATGCACAGAGCTCTATACACTGCAATATAAATGTCAGACAAGGACAAAACACTGTGCTCGGTGTGGGTGGATAAAGGTTAGAAGAGTGGGGCGCAGAGGGCGGACATTTAACAGGTGAAATGGACCAAGTGGAGCCAATTTCCTATTTTAAATCACACACCCATTGTCGGTCAGATCGATCAAACCACACACACACACACACACACACACACACACACAGAGTACAATTCAATCCACACAGACTACACTATCTGCAATCTTACTCTTTCTGGATAACTATTAAAATCTGAAATATTACAGAAAAAAATGAACACTGCATATTAAATTAATGACCCAATTTATATTAAATGCCATTAAGTGCAAAGTGTCTATCATATAAACTCCCCCTGGAGCTGTAATAGTCTATAAATAGCCCAAAGAATATAAAAAGAAGGCAGATCAAAGTGATTTTTCGTCTGGAAAATGAAAAGAAAAAGACTTTTACTTTGATTAAACACCTGAATCCATTGATGCCAGCTGGGCTTTCAGCCGCACAGTAATGCTTGGTTGCACTATGAGCCTATTGCCTGCAATAAAACACCAAATTTCAGCCTCCATCAGACCCCCGAGAGTCACAACTGTTGCTCCATCAGCGCACCCAGCTCTGTGAACGTGTGCAGTCGGAAGCATCATGTAAAAGCGTCTTTAAATGGCGTGAGTCCACAGAGCAGGTGGCTGCTGAGCATTGATAACAATCACACTGTAACTTACATGTTTAAGTTCTTGCATGCGGTCCTTCATGGCTCCGGTAAATCACTCTTATTTCCCGGTGTCTTCTGGGTGTGTGTGTGCTGATGGAGCGGCGGGGCGGAGACCGACAGGCTGATGTGAGAGCGACCGAGGCGAGGGTGCGCGTGCGGCGGCGACGAGAGGCGGTGATTTTCCCCTTTTGGTTTGGATGGTGGGACCACTTTACGGAGCCCGGTGACGCGCAGTAAAGGTGAGGCGAGGCCTTCCGCCGTTAACCCATTACACACCTTCAACTTCTTCCTCAATCCGCGCTAATTGGTGCTTTTAAAAATGAACCTGCTCTGTTAAGTTTGTTTTTAATCCGGTAAAGTCAGCGGAACAGACTGAAGGATACACCGACATGAAGTGACCGCCTCACAGAGTCTGGCTGAGTGAGGAAATTGTGTTGGATTTGATTATCGATTGAGCGGGTTCAGAGATAACGCCCAGGTGGCTCCCGCTGTGCCAAAGCGGACAGCGACCTCTGGCGGTTACACGTCATGCGCACAGGCATGGAGGCAGCAACACACCTCGGATTTTAATATAGCACACAAGCGACATGGAAATGTATCTGACATTTACAACCTGTACTATTTTTTAGATGCCTTCATATGCCCATGTGAGTTATTATTCTCACATGCTTTTTTTTAATCATTAAGGGACTGTACTTTATCAGATGAAGGAGGTTGACTGGGGTGTGACTTTTGTTTTTAAATCTTTCTTTAATTTCTTTTTATTGAAATGTTGCCATAGTTACAGGGCAACACAGTGAACAACAGCCTACCCCCTCCCACAACCTGTAACAATAGGAAGGACGATGGAGAAAGTGAAAACAGAAATAAAAATCCAATAAAAGAAATAAAAAGATAGAAAAAAACAAACAAACAAAACCAAAATGATACAAACCCTCCCCGAAGCTAAAAATATTTTTTTCTTGAAACTGTTTTTGGGACTGGTGGAAATGCATGACCCTCCACCATACATAACCATATTTTCAATATATTCACACCAGATATGGAGCCAATGCAACGAGCAAACAGCAAAACAAACAGCTAATTTCTAAGGCTAAATGCAAATCTTAACAATCATATCATCATCATCATCATCAAAGAACTGTCTGCACACTTCAGCACAAGATGTGCATGACAGTCACACACAAACCAACAAACTTTATTAAGCCTACACATCACACACACACATCACAGTGTGCACACAGCCAGCATGAGCAACAGTGACAGTTTTCCTAAATAATCTCAAACATAAAGTTGTGGCTCAGCGTCCAAATATATCTCTGACATGCTTGTGGCATATGACCCTTCTAAGACCCTGAGGACACCTGGGGCCTACTGAGGGTCCCAAGAAGAGTCAGAAGAAACATGGTGAAGCAGCGTTTTGTTATCATGCAGCACAAACCTGGAGTAACCTCCCAGATGATGTAAGACAAGCCCTGACTCTGAACACTTTTAAGTCAAAGCTAAAAACATTCCTTTTTCACACTGCCTTCTCCACCCTGTAATAACTGCAAAATTATTTAAAAATTCAATTTTAATGATGATTTTATCTTTGCACTTTTTGCCTGCTATTTTTGATAGTGCTTTTTGTTTATTGTAAATCATTTAGTAATTAATTTTTCCTCTTTTTTTTGTCTTAACTCTTTTCTGTATCTGTATTATGTTTTCTGTTTTATTGCTCTGTAAAGCACTTTGAATTGCCCTTGCATATGAAATGTGCTACACAAATAAAGCTGCCTTGCCATCACAATGTAACAGTGGCAGCAGTGGCCAAAATTAAAGTAACTTGATACGGTGGCCATTGTTAGATTTTAAAAACATTACCTTGTGTGATCGAAAATTAAACGTTGAAATTGAAATCCTGAAGTTGAAAAAAGCCTCATTAGTGCCAACGGCTTCTTTTTAGTAACATTTTAAATGAGATTTAAAATGTCACTATCTTAAACTTAGATTTGACCACATTTCTTGATGGAATCAGAAAAAAATATTTTAAAAATATTCCAAGTGTCTCCTCCAATACATCACGAACAGTCCCTAATATACTAAGTTTTCTTACTAGAGACCAGTTTTAGTTACCTTATCAATAGTTTACGTCTTTATTATGTTATACAGTATTTTATGTGCTATTTATTTCTGCAACTATCAGTCTACATAAACCATCCAAAAAGTAATTTTCCAGAAATGATTTGGTGATGGTTGCAGCAGCATCATGAGTCATTTAATGTAGTTCCATTTTCCCCTTTCCCTTTTTCTACATACCAACTCTCCCCTTTGTGTGGCTTTTATTAATTTAATGAACTGCCAGTTTGTACAGGACCATCTCACAAATCTGCATATCCACTGTATGTGTCATTTTGTGTTTCCCATACATACCACTACAACAGGGTGTTGTCCTCACACACGCATGGAGGTTGTTTAATTTCTTCTATATTCTAGAAAAATAAACAGCAATAACATAAAAAAAATCTCTGTTTTTGTAGATTTTTAATAAACGGCTCACCAGAGATAGAAGATTTTACATTTGATCATTTAAAAAAATGTTTTTATTCTATAACATTGTTTGTGCTGTCTCTGCCTCCACTGTGGGCAGTACAGACATCTGTCACTGTACTTGGTATCTTCCAGCCAACATGAACATGGAGAGTCCAATCTCGCCACCATTTGTGAGAAACAGATTGCCAGACACTCGACCAAATGTAAAAATGATTGGCCATGATAGCATTTTACTCTTGCATCTCATCCACTTGAATTAAAGAGATGGAAGAATTGAGCCCGAACACTCTGCAGTTAGAGGGGTGATTGTGTGCGGGGTGGTACAGACGAGAGCTAATGAAGGCACAGCTGCATGAGTCAGAGCTAGAAATGAGGTCTCCTCTGACGTCCAGTGTATTTTGTGTCGGCTCGAACGTCCCTGCAGGCCAACAAACACACAGCAGAGAGAGATGAGGCGTCAGCAAGTGTTACAGAATACAGCTTGTCAGAGGTGATTCAATTAAAGCTTAAGTTATGTTACATTATTTAGAGCATGAATATTTCAGCACATGATACTAAATCCAATTTATTTGCACTGAGAGAGTTTAAAACGCAGGCTTGTACATACCGTCCCTGTCTTCTCCTCCTCTCCTTCTTCTCAAAGATCCAATCTCGTCCCTTCTTTGCTGATTTCCCCTTCATGTTTTTGAACCGGTTTCTTCACAAAGACAAAGTGGGGCTGATTAGTTCAACTGAAATGCACCTTTTCTTTCTGATAAACCACATCCTCCATGCAACATGTTTCACACATCCTGTCTCTTTAGCTACATTCACATTACATGACTTTAATGTCCAATTCCAATTTTTCCCCCAGATCTGATCTTTCTGTTTACATTCATGTTTAAAGTGACACATATCTAACATCAGTATGAACAGAAATCTGCCCTGAAATGCCGCACACGCAATCTGGTCACACAAATGGAACATCAAAAAAAAAAAAAAGAAAGAAAGAAAGAACAAAAACACATAATTGAAACTACAAAATATCTCCATACTGCTCGTCCGTAGTGATCCAAGTGTCCTGATGCCCCAACATAAAAAGTTGTTCGGAAAAACTTCATTTGAACTGTTTTTAGCCTCATTGTAGCCTGTAGCTCTAACGGCCTCTTTCATTTCAATTATGTGTTTTTGGAGGTTTGAATCTGGGGCGCCGTCAGCCTCCATTAGGTGGAGTTGTGTTGCTACCCCCTCTCCCCTTGGATCTCCTTAAGTGTTGTGAGAACTTCACCTGAGCCTCCATCGGCATATGGGTGAGTAGATAATGGCTGAATTTTCATTTTTGGTATCCCTTTAATGTAAACGAAGCCTTTGTGTAATCGGAAGCAACTTGAACATCACAATGTAAAAGAGAGGAAAAGCTGCCTGACGGTGTTTTAAGTTAGGCAGGACAACAACCCTTTTGAGATTTCTCTCGGTCTTTTGGCTTCATCAAAGCAGATATGACTCAACCTGCACTTCTGAAGGCCAAGACCTGCTTTAAAATGGCTCTTTGTATACAAATCAATAAGCAAATGGGGGGTATCCTAACCTGAGTAAAGCAGGGCTGCAACTAAAAAAGTCTATAAAATAAGTGAAAATGGCCAATTTCATAATATTCAAATTACTTGCATTATCTATCCAATAGTCCAAAATCCAGAAAATATTCAGTATACAATAATAAAAGACAAAGAAAAGCAGCAAATCCTCATATTTGAGAAGCTGAGATACAAAAATGTCAGGTATGAAAAATAAGGAACAAACAATTATCTACAAGAAAGATTTACCAACAATTATAATGTATGTGTTAAAATCCCACACTTTCGGGGTTCTCTAAAAAAAATGCCTTACATTCCAATTTTCAGCAATAAGCACATCAAGAAAATCAAATTAGCAACAAAAATATCATAATAATTTTCATCTGATGCTCAGACGGCCTGAGGCTGCAGCTCATCACATTTCATCGCTCTGAATAAAAGACACCAAACAACAAATAAATCCAGATTAACTCTAATGACTCAAACATCTTCTGCCGCTTACAACTGAATAAACAGTTTCATCAAACTATGACAACAACAAGTGTGAATAGCTTTACCTTTGTCCTGAATACTGGACCTGGTTTGAAACAGCTCTGTCTGACGTTTCTGATCCCAACCCCTGAAAAGAACAAGAAGAGATCCCAGTAATGATAATGAGGCTTAAATGAAACACAGACATCCTAAATATCCACAAAAACAAGCTCCTTTGTTTCTTACCTTGGGAAGGACTCCTGTGACTCCAGCAAACAGACACAGGAAGAACCTGGAAACAAACAAGATGTGCGTGAGTAAATTAGGCCGACCGTTTTTAATGTGCGGTTATTCATCACGAGGCTATTGTGACAAACAGTGGAGTCAATATGAATGTCATCGTGTTCTAATTAGCCTTGTGTTGCAAGTACACTGCTGCTAATTTCACAGGCCATTAAGAGGGAATCAATTGCAGACGGCTGCAGCTGAACATGTTGAAATAAAAACCCAGTATCTGAAAGGTACTGACTTTTTGGCCTTGCTGCTGTTGGGGTAATCCACCACCATGCCTCCACCGAAGCCTGCCTTCATGGCCTGCGTCGTGATAAGCTCGAGCTTTAGAGAGGGAAGAAAAGGACAGTGAGTAAAGGAATCTGGAGAAGACTTCAGCTTTACATGCAAAATGCATAACGTTATTTCACCTGTTCTGAGTTTTCTGGATAAAGCTGGAAAACTGCACGTGCGCCTCTTGACTGAAAAACAAATAGCAAGGAGAAGTTAGCAAAGGTCTTTGTCTTAGAAAATGGAATGCAGGTGTTTGATTTTTGTTAAATAAGTCAACAAGAGAGCTAACACCCTACCAGAGAGGAA